ATAATTATTTTAAAAAAAATTACACGGGTGTATACTAGAAGGAAATACTAGGTATGGTTATAAAAGAAATGCTTCCTATGAAATGAAAAAAGGACTTATAGAGAATAAGACATGTAAGCCACAAATAAAAAAACCCATGTGAATAATTTCACAGAGGCAATAAACCACTACCTTCACTCAACAACTGTGATAAATCTTACATAACAGAACATACAAATGTCAAGAGGGAAGATGGGGTGAGTAGGGAGGGAAGAGTGAACGGCACACTGAAATTTAAGAATAGGAAAATGATAGGTAGAACCCAAATGATGAAACAGCTTATATACCATGTCAGAAATACATCAATAAAGCATGGAAATTCAAGAGATCATAATTTTAGAAAGACTGGTTGGTGTCAATCTGGAGGTTAAGACTGAGTAAAGACAACTAGAGGCAAAGAGAATAACTAAATGTTGACTAGAGTAAATGAGGTTAAAAAAATGATAATGACAGCTTATTTATGGCAATCAAAGGATAAAGAAAAAGCTTTAAGAAATACTTAGGTTGGCTCAACAGAAATTCAGTGATACGTGAAAGCAAGAGGTATAGGGAGATGGATAAATCTAGGCTGATCAGATGTCTGGCTTAGGTAAAAGGGTAGATGCCACTCACTAATATAGAAAACACCTAAGTAAGTGCAGCAAGGTGGAGAAAAAAAAATCTGAGAGATTTCTGACCAAAAGGCAAGGTACAGAAAAGTCCAATAATGCTCACATGCTTTGCAGTTAGAATAATTACCCAGGTTATTAATACTTTATCAAAAGTGGAAAGAAAACACATTAGCCAAGAATAAAAAGCAAATACTGAGGGTATTTAATAATTAGAAAATTACTGCTCTGTAAACTGCCCATCTACCTCCCCAAAAGGTCTAATTACCTTCACAAATGATGGTGCTACATGCTGAGTTTCAGCTAATCTTTCAGAGGTGGACTGCAGACGCCGTGTTCTTGATTTCAAAGTTTTAAAACCCCGAGACTGTACGAACACTGAATAAAACAGCATCATTTACTTTTCATTATACATTTAAAAGGAACAAAGGACCGAATATTTAAAGCTCTGATACCATACATGTATATCCTAGTTGGTAAATTTATTTTCTAAACATACTTTTTTTCACCTAACATTTAAACATATCTTACATCTTTATTCTACCCTATATACAAAAATAATTTCTAACACTCACCTTAATTTATGATTGGCAGTGTGGAGGGGGTAAGTAAATATAGAAGAGGATCTTATAATGTAGAATAAAAATGGTGGAAAATCTGATGAAATAGTTTCTAAAAGAAGTTCAAGTCACTAAAATCACTTAACTCCATATAATTAACTTCATACTTTTTTTGATAACCACAAAAGTTTAAAAAAAAAAGATATAGAAGAACAATAAGTCAGTCTCTCATAGTTTAAAATTAACATATTTTAGGGCATTATGATTATCACAAGAGTCCGGAATGAGGGTTACAGTGGGGATGTG